TTTAGGGTTTAGGGTTCATTATTGTAGTTATAGTATAATGGGCCCCAAAACCTAAAATAATGACCTATACTATTTTGGTGGTTCATTCTTGTAATTCCAGTATAATGGGCCCCAAAACCTAAAATAATGACCTATACTATTTTGGTGGTTCATTCTTGTAATTCTAGTATAATGGGCCCCAAAAGCCAAAATAATTCCTATACTATTTTGGAGGGTTCCTTACAACCCTATTCTAATTATTAAGGCCCAGGTCCCTACATCATGCACCGAAGACGAGACTCCGAGGTTGTGGGTCTGGAGTTTAGGGTTTAGGGTTGAGGGGTTTAGTGTTGAGGGTATAGGGTGGAGGGGTTTAGGGTTTAGGGCTGAGGGTCTGGAGTTTGGGTTTAGGTCTAGGGTATGGGATTTATGTCTTAGGGCTTACTGTTTGCAGTTTAGAACTAGAGGGGCTGAGGGGCTTCAACTTGCTGGTGTAAAGTTCGATATCCAGGAGTCTAGCATTCTAGAACCATGTTCAAGAAAATTGCATGGTGCTGAATCTGCTGCCGTCATGCACGGCGGTCTGGGTAAGTATATCGTGGCCTCTCTCATCAGACCGTACCAACGTTGGCTAAACTGTACCATGCTGAGTGCACTCTGCCAGCATCCAACACCTATCAAACCGTCTGCACGTCCCTTCTCGTTCTATGTCTGTCTACTTTTTGCTCTCTCTCTCTCTCTGTGTCGATCTGCCCTCTCGGTAGAAAACACAGAAGAACCACCAACAGGAAGCCAAGTAAGAACTACTCGACAGCAGTAGCAGCAACAACTGCAACATACTCGCTGAGGCTGTATAGGCGAGGCCTGCCCGCCAGTTTGGATTTCTATCCGCCGCCGAACAATTGATCCAGGTCTTCGGGTGAGACAGCCTTCGATGCTTGGAGGAGACAGCCTCGGGGGCGTTGCAGGCCGTGGCTTATGACGCATGAGCATGAGCAGGTTGTTTGTTCTTTTTGCCAGACGCTGTCTAACAAGTCCATGAGGGATGAGTGTACATCCAGAAATCTACCCCAACTCATCCTCAAAGAAGCCAGCTAGCAGCTAGCAAACATGATCCTTGGCCAAGCTTAGTCTTATCTGCTTGGAAACCCTGTGGCACGGTGTAGCAGCGTCGCAGCTATGTGGACCCCAAGGACTCCACATGACTTGTTTTGGCCCAAGTGGCGGAGCATCTCCTCGTCCTGCGAAGAGACATGGGTGGTTGTCAAAAATTATGGTCCCTTTGTGGGTCCTTATCATAATACGGCACCTATTATTTAGGGTACCCCAAAAGGGACCATAATTTTGACAACTGCCCACATGCAGATGTTCCAACACTCCAACACGGATGACGTCGGGCATCGTTATCAGGGCCGTGAAGGGGGAAACACCCTAAGAGTCTAGGCTACTGCTCAGCAGCAGTACGGCGGATGCTGTCACATCCTTCAAGAGAGTCGTCTCCCTGAGAGCAGACCAAACCGTTTAGCTGAGTTGGAAAATGCCTTGATCGGAATCAGCTTGTGACAAACATGCAGTCGCCTGGCCCCCCCAAATCTGGTACCCCGAAAAAGGACAACTCCATGATCCTCATGACTACCCTCGCCCTCCTCCACCCAATCACCATCAGAAGTAGTGAGCATCACAGTGGTGACCGTGAAGAAGATATACAGCCCACAAATTGAGCCACGAAGAACCCCTCAACCCTAAACCCCTCAACCCTCAACCCCTAAACCCCTAAACCCCTAAAACCCCTGAACCCCTAAACCCCTAAACCCTAAACCTCTAAACCCATAAGCCCTAAACCCCTAAACCACTTAACCCCTAAACCCCTAAACCACTAAACCCTAAACCCCTAAGCCCCAAACCTCCAAACCCCTAAATCCCTA